ATATATATATATATATATATATATATATATATATATATATATACATACCATATATATATATATATATATATATATATATATATATATATATATATATATATATATATATATATATATATGGCATGTGTTTACAAATAATTTCAAACATAAAGCCAGTAAAATCATCTATCAAGCATGCTGCTCCTCTCTCTCTCTGTCTTTGTATGTGTGTGTGTGTGCATGTGCATATGCCTGCATGCATATGCATATTAAGCTAGTACATGGTCATCATTCAAGAGTGCATATTCATTCATGCTAGGACATACGGAACCTTTAGTATGTCCTAGATTACTGTAACAATGCCCTGTCAACCGAGGCAAACAAAAAATCCACTGTATGACCCTACCCTTGTACCAAATCTAAAGTTGGCAAGTATGATGTTCATGGAACAAATTACAACCTTGCTGAGTGAGTGAGTACCAGCTAGAATAACCCTTCACTTCCCAGTGGATTATAAACCATAGAACCATAGTGAAATAGCTATTAGACTCTCTCGTAAACTGCTCTAATCTTTCTGAAGTCCAGCTTGAGCCAGTTGAGGCATTTTTTTATACCACCAAATTTTTGTCTAGGGTTAAAATCACAAATCAGATTAATTTTACACCAGTGTGTGATAATGTAAAAATAAAGAATTCTTTTTTTTTTTTTTTTTCATTTTTGCTGTGAGAAATCTTGAGACTCCTTTTCTTCTCTTTAGGAGAATTTTTTTTCTGGAAGTCATCCTCTGACGGGATTTAAAGGAGATTACACATCTCTTTGTAACAGCTTCATATTAATAAGCTAGGCTACTCTGCTTCTGTCTATAAATTACTATCTATGAAAACAAAGCTATTCTTACCAAATCTGCCAAAAACCGCCTAAATTCTCAGGATCTATCCCAAGTCATTGATGACACAGAAAACAAGAATTTTAAGGATGAAAATATCAATAAGCTTACTTAGGGAATCATCCTTGAGAAGCAAATTACTAGTCTGGAAGCAGTGAGTCATGCTGGTTTGCTTGAGAATATTTATCTGGGCATAAATGCAATGAATACATTTAAAACAAATCTGGCTGCTCACAACACTGATGGAACACTGACAGCTAATGGCAAAGACAAGAAATCTTTATTAGCACCCTGGCTGCTGTCAGTGTTGTGATAAAAACATACATTTTTCTGGGCAACTTAAGGCCCAAAAAAGGCAGTAAAGCTTGCAAACATACAGATTCTTAACAGAATGCAAGAAAAGATCAGCTAGAGGCTGAGAAAAAGAAACTGGCATTTGCACACCAACTAACAATGTTATGAAATTTTCAGGCATAAGTTGCAAGACTCTAAAAAATGAGGAGATTTTAAAAATTTATGAAGGCAAATAATTTGTTTCTATGAGTTCTCTCAATCCTGGCATACAATAAATATATTGTATGAATACCGTCATTAAAAAAACCATCAATAACCACTGAAATTAATTCTTTTTGAGGAGTGTTTTCCAGGCAATAAATAACAAGAACACTAATTCAACATTGGCATGTCAGATGTTGACTACTGTGTACAAAATAAAGAGTTTACCACTGAAATTACCCTTGCCCCCAGCGTACATCCATGCCACTGAAATAACTCCGAGCCCCAGAATACACACATGCCACTGAAATAACCCCGATCTCGAGGTACATCCATGCCACTGAAATAACCCTGACCCTCAGGGTACATCCAGACAAGAAAAAATCCAAGTAAGCAACCAAGCAATGTTTACCTATTTTCGGTGATATACAATGACAAAATATCTTAATTCTGTTAACCTTCACAATTGTGCCTTATTTACTGCAACACCTCTCCATTACATGCTTGAATTATGCCTTGGCTCACCTTGCATGTTTTGTGACCTCAATATGAATAGTCTAAAGAGATCTAGGATGGATAAAGGAAGGGTGGATGTATTAGAGACGACCTGTGCAAGGTCAACATATGGCAACTAAACCTGGTTTACAAGACCAGTCTTGGGCAAGGTCAACATATGGAAACTGAACCTGGGCTCCGTAACTTGAAAACATCGCGAATTGCGACCAAGCGCAAGCATCTCGATTCCATAACCCGTCCCATATAATAGCCTCGATATAAAAGGTGATATCGCTGTTCACAATTCGCAATGTTTTCAAGTTACAGAGCCCTGGTTTTCAAGACCAATCTAAGACAAGGTCAACATATGGCAACTGAACCTGGTTTTCAAGACCAGTCTTGGGCAAGGTCAACATATGGTAACTAAACCTGGTTTACAAGACCAGTCTTGGGCAAGGTCAACATCTGGCAGTTAAACCTGGTTTATATTCTGGCCAGTCTTATCCAAGGTGAACAACTGAGTCATACGAAGACAGAAAAACATGTTAATTATTTTTTCAAAAGAGAGTAAATTATGACTTTTTTTCTTAAATTTAACACAAGTAGCACAGTATTTTTCTTTATACATGTTCAAAAATATTCACTTCAAAACCTATTAAAACCTGTTCATCCCAGACAAGATGAACAATAATTAACAGGCAAATGAGTGGAACATCAGGAACACACTAAACATGTGAAAAAAAACATCATCACAGCAAAATAATAATAATGAAAAAATAAAAAATAAAAAACTCCAATGCCTCCACAACTGCATGACATTCTGTATATAGTACTTAGATCTATAAAGTTAATGCACACTTCAACGTCAAACCTGGGCAGCTTAAGTACCAAATGAAGGCATTTGATCAATCTACACTCATCTATCTGTATCTATGTACTTGTTTACTAGTTCCCTATGCCTGAAATGGCTATACATACCATATCTCCTGCAAAGGGGTAATAATTCCATTAAAATATAATGCGTCATATGCTTCTTAAGGACACCCAACCCAGCTGTTTCATATATCCACGTAGCAGTTACATTTACATTCTTAATGTGGAATGCATGTAGTAAACAAACAGCCCATTACAAGTTTATATAGTCCACCAAGTAGGACACTCCCACCTTGCTTCCTCGCACCAGAAATTATATATACTTCAAATCCACTCAACATAGACGGTTATGCATATATGCATCATGCGCTGGTTATGCCCTGCTAAAACCACCTTTGCCAGTGCATCCTATAAATATGTGTTGAGAAACAGCCCCCTGCAAAAACCACAAGCATGAGAAAGTGTAAATAAACAGGATGCTTCAGCAGGGAAACAGGTGACCTATATTATGAACAAAAGGCGAGAGAGACTGGTGTTGACGTTTCAGGTTGTTGATAAAACCTTTTAAGTGCCCCAAACTGGACAATGCTCCTAAGAACAAAACTTGTTGACAAATACTGTGGAAAAAATTCCAGAAGATTCATTCTTGGCTTTCTGTCCCGACTTTGCTGCACTTACTAGTAGGCTTTTTACGCCAAATGCACAAAAATGCATGCATGCATACACCCACGCCAATATAATACATGTACTAGCTAATTATATCAGACCAATCAGTAGCACAAATTAAAGGCACTGATACAAAGAGAGAAGTTTTTATACATGCAAGGCAAAACAGTGCTTTTAGTTGTTTGAAGAATATCATCAAAACAATCAATATCAGTGTCTGCTCCACCTAAAGTGCTTTCTCTCATTTTTTTAGCCTTTTGTTTTTGCTTTTGCGCCATTAGTTTTATTGATTCAAATCAGAAGAAAATGTATCTGCTGAGCCTAGTTGTGATTGATGATGTGATGTCCAATGTTAACTTTGTTCTACCATTAGTCCTGGGACAAAGTGATGAAAACTAGACAAAAAAAAAAAAAGTCCAGCTTACAAACTAAAAAACAGGTGTGCACCTTGACAAGGCACACAAAATCCTTTTATTTAAGCAAAACCAAAGTCCCATCATAATAAATTTTTTTTATTTCATCTTTTTTTGTCCTTTGTATTTAAATATAGAATTAGACAGGAGACTTGGGCATTCAACCTAATTAATTAGTCATAAATTAATTTATGATATTTTTTTACATATTACAACTTAATCATTTATAATTAGCCCTTGCTTATTGCACTTAATATAAGGCAGTACAGCTGTAAAAACTGAACAACAGCAACCTCAGACTAGCCTTTACCAGGGCCACAGTGATTTTTTCACCAGATACATCACATGTATATATTTCTCTGACTAATTCTGTGAACATCTACTCTGAGATTCTTTGAGACAGAATTGATACCATTGTTTAAATGCTCTCAGGTGATGTCATTTTGACCTAAACCAGTTTAGGTTTGAATTTTTATCTAAGCACATCTTCATGTGAGATCACCTGGGTAAACAAACCTTC